AACACTCCAACAGACGAAGATCTAGTATGTGACGCTGCCCTCCATCCTTTTTTGGAACAATGAGATAACGACTGTAAAGACCCGACGCAATGTCGGGTGAGTACACCTGCTCTATAGCTTTCTTTGCTAACAGGGCCTTTACCCCTTGCTCCATTACCAGAGAGATTACCATTACCCATAGAGATATATTTGGCAGAAGCTTCCACGCTGCCAGAAAATCTACCAAGGGAACCAGCCCCTCGAGGCTGGCCTCTGGTGTAATAAAGACAGCCAGTTCGGGGACCTGAAACATACTGGCAGGAACCACCCGAACTGACTGTTTTCGAACCCCCCTCAGAGGGCGCGAGTCCGACGCAACGTCGAGTTGACGCTGCGCCAGAAGCTCGCTGGAGAACGCTGCGCCCCGAAGCACCAAGGGTGGCGGGGTTGGCAGAACGGTCCCCTGAGGGCACAGAGATGGAAAGGGCACCGTATAATGAGGTGTACACCATTCCACCCCGGTTGGGGCTGCCCTCACCGGTCTGACGCCGTGGCGCCAGACCTTTTCTTTTGAGCCGCAGCCTTCTCAGCATGAAGAACGGTCCTCGGATCCGGCTTCTGCTTTGAAGGCTTTGGCTGCTGTGTTGTGTATGAGAAACTAGCCGGCTGGAGCTGCTCACGCCCAGCAGCCCCAGTGGGTTGGACATAGCGAGGGAGAGATTATCTTGTATCTTTCTCCATGATTCCCATCAAATTGAGCCAGAGGTGTCTCTCAGTGACCACATTTATTTGGCTGCCATCCCTGAGAAATAAATCTGAGGCCCGACGGAGTTCTCAAACCCCATCGGGCCAAACTCCCTCACTTCTGTCCAAATACCACAGCAGGTCAGCCTGATATGCTTGCAGCACTGCTATAGTGTGCAAGCAGGCTCGTGCTAGACCCACTGCCATATATGCTTCTCCCACTAGAAAAAAAAAAATAGTTTTCTTTAATGGTTTAGTGAGAGAAGCCGACGCCTTCAGGGACGATACTGAACCGGGAGACATAGCTCGCAAGTGTCTGTACTACCCGGGGTATTGTCCCATAGCCATACTCTCTTAACCCCCAAATATCTGAATATACGTGAATGTGGGGCTAAAAAATGAGTAAGGCTTTTTCCATGATCTAGACAGCTCGCTGTGCAGATCGGGAAAAATGGAAGGCCCCGTGATGGAGGTGGAAAAATAGAGGGAAGGAAACTCGTTCAATTTATTTTAAGGACGAGTGCCCCCTTATTCCTGCTGGCCATTAAATATTTAATTTATCTACAGCCTTAGTAAACACCTCCACCAGCTTATCATTATATATATATATTTTTTATATACATACTTTATACATATACACTTTATTTCATATATAATATGTAAACTATCATATATATATATATATAGGCTATATATAATTCTCATACGCTGGGGAAGAGATGGCAAATCCACTTCCCCCATGATTGTGTACACTTTCAATGCCCAGCACATCTACCTCCTCGGAGGTAGAGCACTGAAGCAATGATTTCTCTCCCCGGGCGGAAGAGACCGCAGCGCGGGCTTCCGAGACCGGAGAGAGAGCACTGGATCACTCGTGGAAAGGGAGGAGATAAGATCCGCGGACCCGTCTCCAACCCCGTAACGAGATCCTATTCGCGATCCACAGGAATGCATTCTCCGCGCTGCCTCGGCAGACGCGTGTCCTGCACCCCGAGGATCGCGAGCCTGGCCACTTTCCTCGAAAAGTGACAGGCGGGAGTGGAGCATGCGAAGCGAAAGCTTCTCACAATGTTGCAATCAGCCCCCTCGGAGGCTGATACCGCATGCTCCACTCCCAAACAAACTACACAAAGCTCGTGTGTGTCCCCACCCGTTAAATAACGCGGGCAGGGAGAAGCACAGAGTTTGTAAAGTTGTTTCGCCATAACTCTTCCCAATAATATCGTAACAGACAACAATAAATAGACAGAGACAGAGTAACACAGATCGCTTGCTGAGACGCAGAAGCTAATGCCGCGTTTCACCGGGTGAGCCTTTATCCCTTCCTGGTCATGACGTCACCCGCCCGTGACGCTCATTCTTTCCATTGGACTAGTTGACATTGATGCTCAGACGCATTCACGCTGGGGGCGTTCCCAAGGCGTCAAGTGACGCATCGCGAGTTCCCTCGAAAGGGAACTCTCGTTCGGCTGCATCCTAGTGAGGCCTAATTTAATACAGCCTAATTTTTCCTCCCATCTCATATTTTTTTCATCAACATCCGTATACCATAAAAGAAAAAGAAAAAAAAGGAACAAAATATATTCTAAATTCTTATAGGTTCCCAATTGGGTGAATGTCTTTCTACAGGTCAGATGTGGCCAAACCCTTAAAATGTGCATGGTATGCTCTGATATATTTCACATTATTGTGGGAAAATAAAACCATAAATATTAAACAAAAACATGAAATTGTGTTATACGAGTCGTAATCACGCAGAACATGAGAACGACAGAATGATAAATATTGCACACTTCTGATTTCATAAAATTTAAATATATTTTATCGTCTGTGCCTTCAAAACAAATTATAAATACACATTTTATTCTTATTAACTGTAAGCGTCTCGCCCACGTCATTGAGAGGAAAGAGGAAGGACTGAATCTCATCTTGTGCTTCATTCAGTTTGTCTCGAGGATTCTAAATAATGTGTCCCACTGTCACCAGTACAAAATCCCACTGCACTATTGGCTTTCATTCATAATTGTTTTTCGATCAAATCAAGAGAGGTCACTTTTTAACTGACCGACTGAATGCCTTGTGAAATGGAATAAGAACAGGAGATACAGATTGAAGACACATGACTGGCCAGCCCGTTCTCATCCCAGCTTGTGACATTTCGTCGAAATCTTACGCACATGGCATCCTTTAGCGTCAATATGAGACGCAGATCCCAAGGCGTCATAACCGTAACCCGACCCCAGACCTAAACCTACCCATAACAGTGCGTGTTATATTGACGCTAAAGGATGCCATGTGCGTAAGATTTCGACGAAATGTCATATGGCGTCACCTATATGACGCCAAAGGATGAGAATGTGTTGGACTGGCAGATGTAATAATTAATCATCTCTGAGAAATGTGTTCCTTTTTTCTCAAGATAACTCAATTGAGCAGAGCTCCTATCAAACTTTTCAATCTGTAAACATAATACATTTAGTGGGACATCTCACTTACCTTAATTTCTGTCCCTGAAACTGAAAGTGCAGTATTTTTCTCTCTTCTCATCTCTGCTTTGGAAATTTGGAATCTAAAAGTAAGCTGTCAAACTGTGGTTTGCTCCATGTTATTACTATATATACTGTGTGAAGTTTGACATGCAGTTTCTTTCTTACGCATATAACACTTACAACTTCTATTTCTGTGAGCCATGCTTAGATTATTTCCATTAACAGGATCGAAATGAATGTGCACATTCACTGTCTCTGTGTGTTTAACAGGCTAAACGGTTTCTCAAATATTCCCCTTGGCTCCATTCCATTGCAGTCAGACACAAATATAAAGTGAACAGAGGATATGTATAGTAGATATTAAGTTTATTTTTCATGTCCACACATTGAGATCACCAAACCATTGGTGAATGTAAGCGAATGTAAGTCGCTTTGGATAAAAAGTTCAGATAAATGTAAATCACTTTACTGTGGAAAAAAAAAAAAAAAACATTTGAAATGTGCATTTTATTTTACCATGTTCTACATCTAAATTCAGAGCTACACTTTTATTATAGCTTTCCCCTTACGCATATCCCAGGCCTTTAGTGACGCGGGACGTTATTCACTACCCTCCTCCTCATCCATTTTTTAAAAGTCAGACATCAACCTTTTTAGTATTCCTCAATCAATTAATTCTAAATATATATATATAACAAGAAAAATAATAAAATAATAAAAGATTGCTTGGTTTCCCATTCATGTTTTGGTAATAATCGTATAGGGTCGCTAACGACCCGAGGTTTGTATGAGTATATATTTTTCTGCACAACAATAATTTAATCTTTGATTACAAAGTGCAATTCACCTTTATGTCACAAGGTAGCAATGTCTGATACACAATGATGAATTGACGTGTCACACAAGCAGAAAACAAAAGAATAGGAAGTATCATCAGCAAAACTTGAAATGGCTCAGTGATTTATTGCAGAGCAAGTACGGAATGCAATCAAATATTACTGTCACTGTCATTTGATGGTGGATCTGGCGAAGAAGCTGTCAGCGATCCAAATATTAATTTTGAAGATGTTGAAAATGATAGTTTTGAAAATATTTTTGAGATGGCGAATATGAGCCAGATGCTGAATGTACTGGGAAATGAGCTCTAATGAGGACAGTGATGATGGTATAAAACATCTGCTCAAATCAAACATTTCCAAGCTCCAAAAGGCAACAAAATATGCTTTATTTTATTCATCTGTAATTGTTACTTGAATATCTGGAGAGTTGTATGTTATTGCGAATGGTAGAGATCCAGAGATATAGATCCGGGTTGCTAAAGATAATGATTGGCGAAATATTCATGCATTTACAGGTTAAGGCATTGCCCACTTTCTTACATTGACTGTGAACAGGACGAATAGATGATTCACATGTTAGTGACACTTCAGTGTGATCATATGCGCTACTTGATCTGACAACCACCAATCTAGAAAACAATCAAATAAACAGTGTGAATCACAACACAATATTTTAGATTAATAAAAAATCTAGATAAGGAGCTCTGGTGTGTAGAAACTGGACTTTTAAACATCATTATGTGTTCCTTTTCAAATATTTGCTAATAACAAATAAGGGCGATGAAATTCCCGTCAACCAGTTAAATTGGCCAAGGTCATGTTTGTACTGTTCAGTGTTTAAAGGTCACGTGAGGTTTACAATAAAAACTCCAGTGATACTGACGGACAACAGTGAAGTCTAAACTCGTGTTTGGAGCAAGTTTCATTACTATTTTCTAAGGTTTGTTCATTATCGTGCTGTTGATTACCGTAAAGCCTTCAGGCAAAAGAAGACTTTTGACAAAATATTAATTTACCCACAACAACAAGGTAAGAGCTTAAGAACTTTACTCAGCAACTATAAGATATACAAGTAATTGGTCTTTAACAAATACAGGAATGCAACGGTGTCTGTATGAAAATGTGCACAGCTGGGATAAAGTAACTAAGATATGTGTAAGATAAGTAAAAATAAAGGAAGGGTCTCAACAGTATTTTCTTAATTAATCACAGCACATAAACTGCTTTATAAGTCGAATGTCAGTAAAGGTGTGTTGATGTGTGTATTGTTCATCAGGTCATGGAGATTCATCAGTCTGCTGTGATTCTGCTGCTGGTCGTGTGTGTGTCGTTCTCCACTCATGCTGTACCAGACGGTTATAAGCATTTCCTCAAGCAGCATGTGTTTGGTGCCATGACTGTACAGAAATGTGACAGTGAGATCCACACGAGAGGAATCGTACAGTCTGACACCACCAATGGCTGCAAAGATATCAACACTTTCATACTAGCAAATAAAAAAGATGTTAATGCAGTTTGTGGTAAAGCAGGAACTCAAAGGGGCAATAACCGTGTGAGTAACAATCCTTTCCCTGTGGTCATTTGTAAATTACACAGTGGGAATACACACCCACACTGTGAATACAGAGGGACCAGATCCACACGTCAGATTGTGGTGAGGTGTGAAGACGGCTGGCCTGTACATTACGCCGAAGACATAATTAATGGATAGATGACAGACTGAAAACAGCTTTACAATAATTTGCTAATCATTTGTTCACTTCTCCTTTTCTGTCTCCCTTTGTTTTTCAATTAGAAAAAACATCAACAATCAGAATCAATCACAAAGCCAAAAATAAAATAGATAAATAAATAATTGACCTCAGTTAGAGGTTAACACGTCATAGTTTAATGAATTCATTGAAGCACAGGTGTACATGTACGTAATTGTATTTGAGCAAAATGGGATTTTTTTTTTTTAATAATTCATGTCCTTTTGAAGAACAGCACACAAGTTCAACTTAGGGTACAATAAAATGAACCTCTCTTTCTTCATGAGACTCTGATATGAACTAGAATATCTTGGAGATGTTTCTCATCATTTACCTTAAATGAGTATAATGTTAAAATAACGTTGTTACTTCTCTAAGTTGATGTTGTATTTTTCACTTCTTCATGCATGTCTCTGTGTGTAATTCTGCTTATAATGTGCAGATTCAGCGAGTCTACTGAATTTAAGCACTCTGTTAACACTTTTTGAGCATTAAAAAACTTTTTAATGGGAGTAGAGAATGAGCAAAAACAGACGAGGGAAGAAAGACACAGATGTTTTTACACCTGTCTGTTATCCTCAATAAAACTTCTCTATACCCTTAAACTCTGATGGATTGACTTGCATCTCAACGTCACAATATCTTGCAACATTGCTGTCATACTCATCACTGTGCAATACTTTTGGGTCCAACAATACTTTAACTGTCTTTCAAAAGGTTCAACCATTTTACTTGTCTGCCATTTCTATTTATTGCAGTCAAAACTCTTATTTGGTGCAAGTTTGATAATTATTTGTGCGGTTTGTTCATTACCATATTGTTGATTACTGTAAAGCCTTCAAACTAAATAAATGTGTTAGAACAAAATATTAATTTACCCAAAACAACAAGGTAATACATTTAGTGCTTCAATGTCTTTAACACAAATACAGAAAAACAAAGCAACTGGAATGAAAACGTGCACAGCTGGGTGAACAAAGTAACTTTAGACTATAATCGAGACCACGTCAAAGTGACTGACAGATAGAGAACAACTCGGTTACAATTGTAATTTCTGTTCCTTAGACGTGGTGTCTCTAAGGCCTCAATGTTGAACTGTCTGCTGAAATACCCGTAGCAAGCAAATTCCACTCGCCAATTCTCATTGGCCTTTTCTGAGTCTCAGATGTTTAGGGCTTTCAAGCGTGACCCCTGTGTCAGTCATTGATCACGTCTCATTCCCTCCATCAGTGAACGCAGGTTAATAACCGAGACGCTCACCTAGTGTAAACAGAAACAAAATGTTAAGAGAGTGTGTGCTCTTTTCTGTGCAAGTTTACTGTGTACTGTGACCTTGCACAAATTCTTTAAAAAATGATTTACTTGCCTTTAATTAGCTCTTAACTCATATTCCTTCATCTAAATTTCATGAACATCAATTTTCAGATAAATATCCACAAACCAGAAACATGAAGCACAACTATACAATGATTTTTTTCAAAGATATTTTCATGTTAAATTAAACAGAATTGAGGGGGAATAATCTGTGAGAAGATAAAGCAGTCTGCCCAAAAAAATCTGAGCTCCTCCATATCTGATCACCAGCAACTGCATTCCCACGACTTGTTTTTCATTGTGAAAAGTATCCAGATTCAATTAGATTATTTATAAAGAGCGAATGAGAATGGGCTTTCAAGAACCAGCTGACACCATGAGGTGATTCCCTTCATTCCTGTGAAGACCATAATAAAACGTATTCATTTAATCAGGAACATGATGTTTGTTGCCTTAATGGCACAAACTGTATATAGAAGTTTTAGATTCAGTTTTACTCTGAAGCCGTAAGGCTGTGCTGATGTTGAATATCCCTATGATATGTCTATCATAGTTAACACTCATGCAGGTCCAGACATGGCATGGGATCATTTCAATTGTAGTGGCCAAAGTTGAAGACCGCTTTTGCTAATTTAAGAGAAGGTCTGGGTAATTGAAGTCAATTCAGCATTTAAGCTTAAGATAACCTCACAAATGCTACTAGCATCATTTATAGATTGTTGTAACAGTTCTTATTTAAGATTTGCACTAAAGTGGCTGGATTCTGGAATCCACTGCTGCTTCAATGTACTATATCTAATGAGTGATTAAAATCAAGGTATTAATCAATATTTTTCCTTCTAAATATCACATGAGTTGAATAACTTCTCTAGGCTTGTGAGATTTTACTTTGTTATAGAAGTTACCAGTGTGTTTTAGTGTGAAGTTACTAGTTTTCATCTACGTGCGTGACTAGAAACGCAGATCTGCAACCTGGAATGTCACGACGTGCCTAACTTCAGGGTCCGAGTGTCAGCCGCATAATCCATGGAGATATGCTTCAGTCTATCTAAAATGTGTTTATCTAGCCAATGAGATACATTGAACCTGAAGTAAGGACATAGCTTAGACTTTGGAAATGGTATAACTGCTGTGATCTGTGTAACTGTAAGCGGGACGGCCTACGAACTCCTGTGTGAGTTTTGAAGCTGACTTCTGCTGATGAAACTGCAAACTATCTTCAGTAAAACTTATCTTTAATCTATTGTAATTCTGACTCTTGTCTAAAATTGACTGCACTTCTGACTCCTGGTCTTAATTACAGTTTTTCTCAATTGCTAAAACACTAAACCCTATTGTCTGAACCAAATGCTCAGTTGCCTGAACCCACTGATTGAATCAATCACTCTTTTGGCAAAACCATAAGCACTTTTCACCTGTTTAGACACAACTTGCCAACACATTTTCATTGTGATGCACCCGTGCTGCATAATGGTGAGCACAGGTGACAAAAGTCAAACACAATTAAAGCACACGTGTCACCACTTGAACACAACAACTCAAAATTGATCACACTTGTGGCTAATGATGTGAGGGAACATATACAGTAAGCCAGTTCAGAGAGCACTGGTTTGTGAGGCCCTACAATGGATAGAAATCTGAGAGGAAGAGTTTGTGTGAGAGGAGGTCGAGGTGGTCAGCGAAGACAAAAAACAGTAATATCTGATGAAATCAGAGCTACTGTGATTGACCATGTTCTTGTCCATGGTATGAGCATGAGGGAGGCTGGACAAAGGGTACAACCAAACATCAGTAGATTCACTGTGTCCACCATAATCCGAAGATTTAGAGAAGAGAACAGGTAATTACCTTTTTTTTGACATTATAGTACAGTATGTAAATGTTGACAGCAATTACTGTATGACATACTATATACTGTACCACAGTATACTGTAAGTAAATATATGTTTCAGTACATCACTGTACCAATGTACTGTAGTATTGTAATGGAGGGTTGGTCTAACTGTTTGTAGGCCTAGTATTCCATGTATATTTTTGTACTTTATTTTTTACATGGGCTTACTGTACAAGTGGCAAACGCATAAGATTTCTGTTTGTTTTTACAAGTGCTACGTGTAAATGCACAAGATTTCTGTTTTTTCTTTTTGTACAAGTGCTAAATGCACAGTTTTTTGTTTTGTTTTGCAACATGCATTTAGCCTACAGTGAACAATAAACATTTATTTCTCCAGCTTCATGTCCTGAGCATTGTGTTTTCTATTTTTCTACATGTTTGTGACTGTTCAGTAGTGTTTTTAATTTTGATTGACTAGGGGCACGATTTGACAACATAGTTCAGTTTTGAGCACAGATTGAACTGTTTTGAGGTGAAAGTTTGGTTTTGCAAGAAAAGTCTGAGGTTTTGTGAATGTAGCTTGAAAATTGGGTATTGTGTTCACAGTTTAGAGAAAAGGAGAGCAGCTTTCAAGAAATGTGTCTTAGCAATCGAGAAAAAACTGTAATTAAATCTGGTCCTTGGGTCTTAAATTGTAAATTCCCTGATAACACATTTACATGTTTTTTGTTTTTGTTTTTTACTTTTATAAATAGTTGTGTATTGTAATTTAATATTACAGTTAAGTTACAGTCTGGTAAAGATGTTGAACAGACATTTTGGACCGTAGAGAGAGAGAGAGAGAGAGAGAGAGAGAGAGAGAGAGAGAGAGAGAGAGAGAGAGAGAGAGAGAGAGAGAGAGAGAGAGAGAGAGAGAGAGAGAGAGAGAGAGAGAGAGAGAGAGAGAGAGAGAGAGAGAGAGAGAGAGAGAGAGAGAGAGAGAGAGAGAGAGAGAGAGAATTGAATTTCAAAATCCATTTATTACAAAAATTAAACCATTATCCACATGTCCAGTCAATTAACACATTGTTCAAATAAAATCAGAACAGACAAGACAAAATTATCTTAAAAGGGGTGCAAAATGCAGATTGTCATCAATAATCTCACACAAAGCCCCCTTATTGCACCAAATCTGATCAAAAGAAACAAGATCTTTCATGGCTTTAAAATATCGAAAATCAATTAAAATTCGAGATTTCACTGAATTAAAAAACACTGCCTCTAAATTATAGCTTGTGTCTCGTTCAATTTTATGTTTTCTGGTATTATAAATTGCCATTTTAGCTTGGCCTAGCAACAAGTTCAAAAGTTGACACCGAAATCGGTGTCTCCGGACGTATTTAAAACCACGAATAAAAACTCCAACAGAAAATGTTTCACCAAAACAAACAAATAAATTCTGTAGCACAATAAACAAAGACTTCAGTCTAAAACATTGCATAAATGCATGGAACACAGTCTCTCTCTGCAAACAAAAAGGACAACCATGACTAACACCAGGGTTTAAAACTGAAATAAAAGCATTAACTGCAACTGCCCCATGTAATATTCTCCACTGTAAATCACCTAATTTCTTAGTTAATGGTGACTTGTACAGAGCTCTCCATTCTGGGTTTATGCCCTCTTCCATCTGTAGGATGGTACGCCAGGGTGTATCCACTTTATTATCTAAAAAACTTTTATTCAAAGATTTGACACAACTTTTATACAAGACTTTTCCAGATGCCGGCTCTAAACCCAATAGTGACACATTTTCAGAATACAAAAAAACACCTTTGCACTCTTCTAAATTAGGTGATAGCAGCAGATTAGGAAAAGGATCTCTGCAGTTCGGATTAATGAGTCCCTCAGAATATTCTTCCAGCAGTTTACACTCTTCTGTTGTAAGAGCAGACCTCCACTTTTCAAGGAGTTTAGCCACTACTCGTATTGATCGAACGCCCAGATGCTCCGCTACCAGATCAACATTCTTAAAGTAAATAAATTAAATAATAATGAACAGACATGCTTGGAAAACTGGATTATATATGTAAAAACAACAGTTTTTATAGAATAGGGTTATATAGGGAAATATAGCTGCAAGCAGCCATTAGCGGGGCCAAGCGCAAGAAGCGGCAACAGATGCCCTCATGGGTGGGATTGGCAGACCAATTGCAGCAACGAGCAATTAAAGACATTTTAAGAGAATTTTGGGCAAATGGCTAAAAAACCATAAAGTTTAAGATAATTTAATGGATTATCACTTTCGACCAATAGGTGGCGCAGTTGCGAAATCGATGTGATGTGGTCAGAGTGAGGTGACAATGACACATACAAAGTTTGGTGTCAAAATGTCAAGGCATTGCAGAGATAAAGACTTAATAGTCATTTTGGCAGCA